CTGGAAGAGCCACGAGACCTACACCTGTCAGGTGACGCACGACGGGAAGAGCATCGAGAAGACCCTGAAGAGATCGGAGTGCTCTTAACCCGCAGCCCCGGAGGGCTCGGCTGGCTCCTGTCCCAGTCAGTAGAGAGCTGGGATCCCTGAGGAGTTGGGATCCTTCTGTAGTATCTCCTTAATGTTGATTTCCAGCAACTGTATTTCTACTTTCTATGGAAGTCAGTCCCTTTGATGCCTGCCATTCTTCTCACGTATCCTTCTCCCACCCTCCCCTCTCTGAATTCCCTGCACCTGTTGCTCCTGCTTTGATCTCGGATGCAGCCTTGTTACTATATTAATAAAACCAGAAACAGTTTAACTCTCACTGTGTCTGTATGAATATCTCTGCCTCTTGCAAACTTTTATAAGAATTCTCCAAGTTTCCATGTTCCTACAATAAAAGATGGAAACTGATTAGCCAGGCTCCTGCCTGTTTTCGAAGTGCCAAATGTCAAACAGATTACCACCGAGTTTTGGTTTCACGGATTCTTTCCAGGCATAGATGCAGTCTAGGAGCCTGTGGGGAACACCAGATCCACATTTGCAAACCAGGAACCAGATCCTCAGCTGGGGGAATGAACTATAACTCTCCTGAGGTCTTTGCCCATCAGCTGACAGGATCTTGTCTTGTCCCAAACAGCCCTGGGTTTCCCTCTGGGGAAGCAGCTGTCATTAGGTGGGAGGAGCGTGTAATGGAGTTGCTCACCATGAGATCTGGAGTCCAGGTCCGTGTGTCCCAAGCCACACGGCACATCTCAGCAGAAACCTTGCTCACCCAACGCAAGAGGGAATATTTCATAACTGATTCCCACAGACCTGAAAAGCCTAGAGATACCCGGTACAGCTAAAAGGGGAGACCAACATGCAGTTTTAGCCCTAACAATGCTCCTAAGAAGCATGAGTCTATGGGCCTATGAAAAAAGAGACTAATGCACAGCCCTGTGGCCCTTGGCTTGGGAGGTGTCACTGCTTTTGCTGCAGGATCAGCCAACAAGACAGGACAGTCTTGCTGAACAAAAATTGTTGGGGTCGCCCGCACCACTTCCTTAGGGCCCAACCCCAGCAGCCCCCACACACAAGGGGAAGGTGTTCAGCCAGCAGTGGGACTCCTGGGAGAGGGCGTCCCCGTGGGCACGCAGGTCACATGAAGCCAGGAGCCATGTACAGTGCAGGGTGTCAGCACTGCACAGGCCTTGGGCAGGAGCCCGGAGTTGCACCCAGAAAGAAAAAAGCACCAGGGAGGCAGGAATTCAAGTCAAGCCCGTTTATCGGGGTGGCACTGGGCCATCCCGCTTCAGGAAACCAGTGGCTGACATCAGACGTAGTTCCCTTGTCCTAGTTCAACACCCAGATCTAGCCCAGGCCCTGATGTTTCCTCCATGACTTGTTCCCAGTTTGTTCCCTGATCCCTGAGCCAGTCTTGTTGGCAGTCAGGACAGCAGGCAGGAGGGAGGGGGAGTTTGCAGCCTCTCTCATTTCTACTCTGTGAGCTAACACTGAGCCAGTCACTGCAGACCTAGGCCACGGCCCCAAATGGCTTTGGAGCACGTTACTTCTGGGGCAAAGTCATTCAATTCTAGTTTGTGCCTCAACACAATGTTGGGGGCAAAGGGGAGGGTTGTCCTGCCCCAGGAGCAGCCCTAGGAAAGCAGGATCTCAGACCGGCACAGACACTGAGGGAACCCTCATGTGTTGAAAGAGCGGCTTTCTCCAGATTTGGGGCCTTAGTGATGCTGAATCCAAACATTTCCTAGGGTGTGCGCCATGAAACAAGGCTTCCCAATAGGAACACCATTCCCAGCACAGCATCCACCTAAGCACTGAGGCTTGGCTGCCATTTGAAAGCTAATCAGCTCCCAGGAGGACTTGTGTTGCTCATCCCCAGTACAGCCTCATGATGCTGAACCCCATAGAGCCGAGAAGGGGAAGTTGATGGCAAGAGGGTGTTACAGTCGGGTTCCTCAGTTTCTTATATGGTAATAATGAATAATCTGGCTCACACTGTGCGGATTGTGAAACCTGGGGCATGTTATAAACAGGGCTCGTTGTCCTAAGCTTGTGCTGTCCGTTGAATCTGTGCACGAGGGGGAGGGGTAAATAAGAGAAACTGGGAGCTTCAACGCCAGGCACATAAGGTGCCCAACCCCAATCAATAGCTTTGTATACAATGGTTTGGACAGGGATGCTCCTGCCCTAGGCAGGAGGTTGGACGTGTGCGTGTACGTGTGCGTGTGTTAGCGCATGTCTGGATGTTGGCTCTGGATGTCAATGCCCTTCCACAAGGGTCTGATCCTGCACCACTGGGCTCATGGGGCCTTCCCAGGACTTCAGTCGGAGCAGGAACCAACCCAAAAAACACAGCACCCGAGCCTGGGCTCCAATTACTGGCCCCAATTTTGAAATTCCTTGCTAGAATTCATTTGTTGGCCCTGCTGAGATGAGAAACCCCAGAAGCTCGTAAGACAAGTTCCTATTTATGCTCAGGGAGATGGTCCAGTGCTCAGGCTTCATCTATAAGCAAGCAGCTGAGCCTGGAGAGAGCTCACAGCCTAGATCATTATGGGGGATGCCTTTGCTGGCAGCTTTCTTACAAGTCCATGCTTTGCTGGGACTCAGGCAACAGAGCTGCTTCCCTGAGCTGCAGAAGACAGAATAGCACAGTAGTGGTGGGCCTGGCATGCAGCTCTGCTCAGGCAAACAGCTCTGGGTCAAGTCTTGGAAAGAGCTGGGAAATAGGACATATTCAGTGGCTGTGCTGGATGGCAGGGGCTAATCTCTGAATGCTGCTGGCAGAGCCCCTGGAGGTCTTCCGCATTCTGGATGCTGGCAGAGCAGATATGCCACATCATGGTATCTCTGCAACATATTCATTGCTGCCACCTGGGGTTGCAGCATTTCTTGATACAGACGACCTGTGTGATGGACAAGCAAGGCACCAAGAGTTCAAGACTCTGGATGTGCTCTTCGTTTCTGGAGTACCTGTAGCCTCACCTGCAAGACACTCCTCCACCAAGGCACAGACACAGTGTGACAGCGTATCCGGTCATGGACCATAGACCATGGACACTGATGAACTGTTCCACTGAGAACCTAACGTTGAGTCCTACACTGCAGGGGTCAAGTTCATGCGAATATGGGACGCCATGATGCAACTTCTACCGGGTGCACTGTGACCCTGAGGAACCACCACCTCCCTGAGCCTCTGCTGCTCCGGCTCAGGTAAAATAAGGGAGTGAGCGAGGGCCAGCCTAAGCTTGCCATGCCACAGCAACACATTGTCTGGATCACTTCCAATCTGGACATGAGCAGCCTTTGGTTTGCCAGACATGGCTCTTTGCTAACATTTGTTACTGAACATGACATCATTTTTACATTGCATATGTCTTTTACTGAGCTTAGCATTTCCAGAGGCGCGGGCTTTGGGGGTGTAGAAATATGGCTTTCAGCTACATTGAACAGGCTATTGAATGCGGTCAGTTGTGACATAGGACAGGCAACTCTTCCTGCGGTGATTCCACCAGAATTACATAGCGGTGTATTTAATCTAGCATGTTCACAATCTCACTGGGTACCAAAACTCAGATTCCCTAAAACTGCCACCCACCACCCCAGGCCGGGTGTAGCTGAGCAACAAGCAGTGGTGAACCACCATGCAGACAGCCCAGCTGGACCCACTACCCACCACCATTGGGTCTGGTTCTCCATGAGCTTCATCTACTGTAGCACATGCAAGTCACGCATGTGTTGAGGATGCAAAAACAGTGGGACTCCATGCAGACGTTGCTGCAGAGCACACAGCTCTCCACGTCCTTCTGCGGCCCCTATCCTTGGAGGACCTGAGCAGCTGACCAGCCACTCCTACGAGGAATTTCTCTACAACAACCAACTGCTGCCCTCGGAGGAGACACTGGAAGCTACCGCGCTCCAGCTTTCTCCTCGTGCATGCAGTGGCAGTGCCCTCTCCTGCCATCCAGCTGTGACTGGTTTTTGTACAGCCACGGTTCACTGTGGTATGTCTTCGGAGGAGGAACCCAGCTGACCGTCCTGTCACTGTGGGGTGTCTTCGGAGGAGGAACCCAGCTGACCGTCCTCGGTAAGTCACTGAATTACTCTCGGCCATTCCTTCTCCATCACCTTACTGTGAGATTTTTATGCTATTTTTCCTGTGTTTCTCTGTCTTCACTCTGGGCTTGCATCTCTTTTCCCCTCATATATAGCTCTTAACATGGTAGTGTGAAAAATGTTTGATCGCTGGATGGTCAGAGCAGGGTACTCACGGGCCAGGATGGATTTTATTTTTGAGGGGACGCAGAATAATTTCTTGAATTCTTCCATGACGTTGATCCTGATTCTTTCCCCATATCCTCATTATAAGAACCCAGCATTAGACCCTGAATGAGAATATAGTTTCCAGTAGTGCCACATTTTGTGCTACTCAGAGCACTCAAGAGCTAGATTCTCAGTCACCGGGGGAAGTGAGGGGGCTTCATTGTCTTCTCCCAAGCTGCCCCAAATCTCATCCAAATCTCCTATACTGTGGGAGCATGCTCCCTGCAGATGTACTTGGACACAAAGCATAATCCATCCTTGGTGACTTCAAATCTGATTTCTCAGAGATAGTGTGAAAAGACCCTTAACTGAGAGCTTGTCCTAATATTTCTCTCCAAAATTATTGGTAACGTCCATAATTTTGCAGAAAAATACTGCCAAAAATGTTGGCTTGCCCTATAAACAAAACCCTATTCTCTATTGATCATGAGCACACTGATAGCCAAATTTCAAGCAGGTAAAATGTCAGGATTTTTGGAAACTTTTAACCGAAGCTTGTCCTTTGGACTTTATTACCAGAACTAACACTTCCATGACAAGCTGACCCCTTATCTGACAATTGCATTTAGCTGAATACCAAATCTTCCGTGAACAGGGATTAAAGGGAAAACAGGATTTGAAATAATTCTTATATGACTAAGTAATAATTATGTTTTTCCAGTTAAAATCCAGAGCTCGGTTCTCCTGTGGTGTAAACAGGTGGAGCTCTCATGACAGTAGTAGACTACCGCTCTTTTACCCTTCCTTGTCTTGAGAGTGACTGTAGTGATGGGGCCTCTCAGGACCCTGGAGATCTCTCCCACAGGACCTCCTAGTTGTCAGGGATTTCACCTGTGGAATTCCACCCAGATCTGCCTTTAGGAAGGAGCAAGGGATTGATTCCCAAAACCCAGGGAAACTCTGAGTTTCGAGAACTGTGGAAAAGTGTTGGGCAGGTGCATTGATTGCGTCCCGGCAGGCAGGACTTTGCTAAAGACCTGGCTAGCCAGTGTGTGACCTGTTGGAGTCACGCAGCCCTTCTGCGTCACTCAGACTATTGGCACAGGAAAGGGCTGGTTCTCTACTCACGCTGCTGAACAAGCCCGTTTCTTAGCCGGTTGCTATTCATCAGAGTGAACTGTTAACAGAAAAGTCTCACACACTGTTGTTGAGGCATTTCCATTGTCTCCTTACTTTAGAACCCACCAGGCAGACTTGAATATGGCCTTTGTCACAGCTACAGAATGATAAATGTAAAAGTTCTCATTTCTCTTGCTGTAGAAACTTATATAGTATATTTAATAACCCTTAGAAGCATGGTTAGAGCCCCCTTTCATAGGATCTTTCACTGAGGAAAAGATTTCCCTCGGTGTTTCTGTAGATCCACCGATATGATTCCAAATGTCCCGAACACACTTGGATGTCTCTGAGTACAGTTTTGGCCCTTCATCATTTCCCCAAAATTATGAGCAATATATTTTTTTTCCTATTTTTTTTCCTATTTTTTTCCTATTTTTTCCAGCTTTCCTATTTCTAAATGAAGTACTTGGCAAAATAAGCTACCACTGTCCTTCATCATGTGTATGTGGCTTGGCCTGGGTGTTGAAGTGATGGTGGGGGGACAGAGGAAGGGGCAGAGGGAAGATGAGTTGTTCTTGTGAGTGTTGATGTAGAAACACTTCACTGTTGAATGACCTGCATCAGATCTTCACGTCTTAGCAAGAGTCATAAAGGAGGTGTGGGGCAGAGTGGGGACAGATCCAAAGTTCCTAACGCTGAGGACTTTGTGCCCAAACCTTGACTCTGAGTAATAGCGATGCCTGGACCTGTTCTGCACCCACTCAAGGGCTCTGCACAGAAAGATCTGCAGCCTCGCCATGAAATCCTAACATCACACAAGACTGTCTTTGTCATAGTCTAGGAGAATTCGCATTGGGTGGGCTTTGTATGTCAGAAATACACCTGACTCTTTACACAGACATATTCTGGATGGGGTTTGATGGTTTGTTCGGAATTTGAATCCTCTTTAATTTGTTCTTAACCTAACTCTGGATCCCCTTGTTCCCTTGCAGGACAGCCAAAGGCCTCTCCTACAGTGCACCTCTTCCCTCCATCCCCGGAAGAGATCACCAGCAAGAGCAAGGCCACGCTGGTGTGTCTGATGGACGGCTTTTACCCCAGCTCGGTCCAGGTCACCTGGAAAGCTGATGGCACCACCATGTCCAGTGGAGTGGAGACCACCAAGCCCTCCAAACAGAGCGACAACAAGTACATGGCCAGCAGCTACCTGTCGCTGAGCGCCTCCGCCTGGAAGAGCCACGAGACCTACACCTGTCAGGTGACGCACGACGGGAAGAGCATCGAGAAGACCCTGAAGAGATCGTTTATCGGAGCCGGAGGCTCGGCTGGTTCTCGTCTCAGTCAGTAGAGAGCTGGGATCCCCAAGGAGCCGGGATCCTTCTGTAGTGTCCAATTTCTCCTGAAATCCTTCCTCTCCGGGGGTCCCTATGGATGCCTTTATAAACCTCTCTTTTTCCTGTGTCTCCATCCCATGCCCTTATCTCGCTGCGTTTCCTGCACATGTCGGTCCTGCTTTACTCACTGATGCTGCCTTGGTACAATATTAATAAAACCAGAAACATTCAACTCTCCCTGTGTCTTTATGAATGTCTCTGTTCCTTTAAAACATTTATAAAAACAGTCTAATTTTCTGCAATAAAAGGTGTACAATGATCAGCCTTCAGCCTTGTTGCCAAATACCAAGCCAATTCCCCTCAGCTTATGGTTTCATAAAGTATTTCCATCCATCATATGGTTTAAGAGTCAGCGGGTCTTGTCATTCGCCAAGTACCAAACCCCTGCTAGCAGCAGGTAGGACTGGGGTTACGCTGAGTGTGCGATGAGCTGCCGGGGCAGTAGCGCTAGGGTGGTACCCACTGCCTGTCTTCTGCTAGCCAGCCCCATGTACAAAGGGGCAGCAAAGCCATGCGCAGTCCCAATCCCACTCCAGCAGTTCTGAATCCAGGGGCACCCCTGGCCCTTGGCTGACCCTGTGCACCACAGGGCTTACCATCCTTAGCCTGAGGCCACACTGGGAACGGGAACGTCTGCTCCCAGAAAGGCGGCAGAACACCGCAGCCCCGACAGTCAGCTGAGAAGCTCAGACTGCTGGTGTCCACGTCTACGTACGCAGCACACTCACAGCAGCCAACGCAGGGGGATGCTGGTTCCTGCCTTACACCAGAGAGCCCTGTCCTTTCCCAGGGGAAGCAGCTGTCAGCTCCTGGTGGGGGGAAGGCTATGCTAACAGACTCTCAGATGGCAGGAGGAGCTTGTAACCTAGCATCTCACTGCGAGGTCTGGGGTCCAGCAGCCTGCGCCCAGGCCCAACGCACATCTTGCTTTAGCAGTGTCCAAGGTCTCAGTATCTCAGGCTCACACTGTGGTGTCCTGCTCCATGGAAAGCAATGGCTCGGATCAAGCATAGCCCCTCGTCCTGATTCAGTGCCCAGTTCTACTCCAGGCCCTGGGGCTTTCTCCAGGACTCGTTTCTCCGCTTGCTGTGGCACTCCTGAGCCAGCGTGGTACCTAGGCCCCAGCCACTGGAGCACGCGGGAGGCAAAGGGAAGCAGCTGCAGGATGCAGCCTGTGCAGGAGTACAGTGCTTTGCTGAAACCTGGCTCCTGCGGTGCTCCTGTGTCCTGTCCATCTGAACCTGCCGCAACTGCTCTCACGTTCCTGTCCCTTGCCCTTGCCCTTGCCCGCTGAGGCTCAGTCAGTCACTGTGAACCTCAGCTATGGCCTTGCCTTGCCAGGAAACACACTGAGTCTGAGAATAGGTCATTCAAGTCCAGGCTGTGCTTTCCCAGAGCTCAAAGGGGAGAAGGTGCTCCATGCAGCTGCCCCACCTGGGAAGCAGAGCCTGGAGCTGGCATCTCCCACAGGCCTGGTCTGTCCTGGTGCTGATCACGGAAGCTCAGGGCACCTGTCACTTCCATGAAGATGCCCTTACCTTCCACCCCGTGACTTGATGCACGGTGAGATGTGGTCCAGATCCCTGCCTGCACCCTCCCACTCACTAGGTCATACCCTGGCACACCGACGTGAGCAGCAGTAGAAAGTGCTCCCCTGGCTGCAGGCACATGGGCTGTGAGGAGCCCTGGTGCAGCTGTGGGGCGGGATGCTGCTCACCCACTGGTGGCACTCACAGTCTAGGCCTAGCAGTCCTTGGGGGACTTCTGTCCCTCAGAGACACATGCACAGGGGTGTTCCTCCAGATGCACCAACTGCTTCAATCCGGACTCTTTTGCCCTTTACCCCCTGACCGATCCATCCATTCACCACCCTCCTACCCCCTTTCCAGGTGACTTCTTCCCCCCACCCATGCCTAGGGCTGAGGCCACAGGACACTAAGGAAAACTCAGGGCAAATAGGTGAAATAAGCTCCAGAGCATCCCTCCCATTCCTCTTGCAAACATGTGCATGTGTGTGAGCACACACCTGGATGTCTACTCTAATGTGGCACTTGATTTCAATTAAGGTCTGACCCTGAGCCACACACTTCATGGGATCCCTTCCAGGACTTGAGCCAAAGCGGGCACCTGCCCCAAAGCACAGCACCTCATCCTGGGCTCCACTTATTGCCCTGGCTTAGGAACTTAATTCCCTCACGTAATTCACTTGCTGGCCCTGCTGAGACAAGACACCCCAGAAGCTCATGATGGAAGTTCCTCTTTATATTCAGGGAGACGGTCCAGTGCTCAGGCTTCACGTATAACCAAGCAGCTCAGCCTGAATGGAGCTCACAACCTTAAGCTTTCTTGGGGATGCCTTTGCTGGGGGGTTTCTCACGTGTCCACACCCAGCTCGGCTCCAGACAACAGAGCTGCTGCCCTGAGCTGAGAGAGGGAAAACCAGATCTAGTGCTGAACAGAGCTGGGCACTAGGCATTCAATGGCCAGGCCACATGCTGCTGCCCTGCCCCTGGAAGAAAGCCTTCCCCGCGCCAAGATACTGGACGGTGGCTCAGCAGACGTGCTGCATATTGATAACCCCACTGCATTTTGTTGGTACCAACAGGGGCATCAGCACTGACTGACGAGAACCACTAGCACGATGGCAAGGACCCGTAATCCTGAGCACCTGGATGGACTCTCTGCTTCCAGTCTCACCTGCAGCACGTCTACCACCAGGGCCCAAGGGCAGTGTGATGGCACATGGTGTCATGCCTCCTGGACCTTGAACACCATCCAACCGTTCCACTGACATTTCCAGCAAGGAGCTTTGCACCGCACATGGGGCCAGCTATTTGCAGCACAGGACACCACAATACAGCTTCTGCGGACACAGCTGTGCCTTGCAGCTCTGAGGAGCCACCTCACCCCTTGACAACTTCGGACCCTCCAAATGAGGTAAGACATGTCAGTGAGCAAGGAGAGGACATATCTTGTCATTACCAATGGCAGAAACGGTACCAGCATCCCACCAATCGACTATGGTAGCATATGGCCCCGATCATACTTCATCTACACACCTGCAGGGCCTGACTTATCAGACCTGGCAGTCTGTACACCTGTATTGGTGGGGTATGAACTGGAGCACACTGGCACGCGTACAGATGCTTTGTAGGTTCCCCAGAAATGAAGGTATATCCAGTACGGGGGGTGTTTATCGATGTTCCTTGTGTACGTCATGTGAACCACTGAGGGCATCCAGTTCGGACAGCCTCCGGGCCCCAGCGTGTCCTGGCTAATGGTGTTGACAGAGCTAGAATTAATCTTGGGGTTCAGTTGGTCTTGCAGGATAAGTGCATCAATGAGGAGAGAAACTACTGTACCCCAGAGCCAACCCCCAACCACTGCTCTGAGCAGAGGCAGGACTGACCCGCGGACAGTAGAGGCCCACCAGGCAAGCAGCCCAGATCTACACAGCCCCCCACAACACGGTCCCACAACCCAATGCTGCCCATGGCAGGACATGCAGACCCACAGGCTGTGGGTGCGCTGGGGGCACAGGGACAGTGAGATTCCCATTTGGAAGCAGGGCCAGGGCCCACAGCCTTCCTGGTGTTCCTATGCCCTCTCTCCCTGGAGCACCAGAGCAGCTCACAGGCACCAAGGAGTTCATCCTGAAAGCAATGGTGGGAGGCGGGCAGAGCAGTCCCATGGTACAGGTGGGGACCTGAGGCACAGAGACCTCACTTCACGTGCACAAGGTCACCAAAGAGGATTGTGGAGGACCCAGGAATGAGCCCACGTCGTGACCCACAGCCTTCCAAGTGAGACCATCGTTTCCCGCCTCGTGTCGGCGGGGTGCTGAGGCCAGGAGCAGGCCCTGGTGTGCTCTGTCCAGGAGCACTCCCTCGTCTCACTTCCCAGTGGATCTTCACTCAGCCTCCTCTACCTGAGCTTCTCCACACGGATAAACCATGTGTAATGGGAGCCACCCTGACACTGTCCTGCACCTTGTGTTGCTTGGCATGTGCAGTGGCAGTGCCCTCTCCCTGCCATCGAGCTGGCACCGGTTTTTGTACAGCCATGTATCACTGTGGTGGGTGTTCGGAGGAGGAACCCAGCTGACCGTCCTTGGTAAGTCCCTGAATTTCTTTCCGGCATTTCTTCTCCACAGCGTTTACGTGAGATTTTCATCATTTTTTCCCTTTTTCTCCATCTCTGTCCTGGGCTCGGGTCTTCTCTCCCTCCATGCATAGTCACTGTCTGCAACATTTAATCCCTGTTCCTAATCAGTGCCAGTTTTAAAAATGCTGTGCTGCAGCTTTATAGTGTTTTCCCAATGAATAGTTTTGATTTTTTTTTCTCCCAGAAACTAATCCCAACTTTGCCTCTAGGCCTTATTTTTTAGGGGACCCCCATTAGTCTTTTAAAGGTACCTGTCCGGCTCCCCCTCAAGTGAAGGATTAGGAAGCTCTCATCACACTTGGACTTTGTCAGCAGGCGAATGAAACCGAGTGCCAGTTTCTGAGCCATTGTAAATTAGACTTGCTCCATTGCTCGCAAAATATCCCACCATATTTCTACCCCATAAGTAAGGGCTCACAAGCTCTTCAGATCTAAATTGCTGTTAGATTTTTTTGTGGGTTTTTTTTTTGCGGGGGGGGAGAGTTAAAATATGGGCTGTTGAGGGTATTTTGAGGGAAATGTGCTGTTATTCGAATTGATCAGAAAATGGGCTTTTACTCGAAGGTGTAGAATGACAGGTAGAAGGTGGTTTTTTATAGCTGTCGCCCAGAGACGGGTTTTTTCAGATTTTGTTTGGAAAGAACCCCAGGTCCAAAACCAACCCGTTCTGCAGTGCAAATGTACAAAATGCCAGCTGACGAGGACTAAATTAGTGGGGGCAGGGTTTCAGCTACAAGGTTTCAGCTACAAATTGTCAGTTTTCCAGGGTTTGCCTTATCTAATGCAGGGATAAACAACCGTCCTTAGGAAAAGCAAATCCTTAGTGGAATAATTCCTTTGAAAACTCATCTTTCATGCATTTAAGTACCGCTCTCTTAAATCTAGGGCTAACTCAAATTGTTTAAGATATATATTTCATTTGGAAAACACAGCCAGATATTCCCCTTTTCAAAGCACTGCAGCTCCTTTGCAAATGGAGTACTGACTGTGAGTATGTTGCTGTAGCAAATGTCTTTCTGCCTGATATCAAGTATCCATCCCAAAGCAGTTTAGACAGTGGCAGGGGCCTGGGATATCAATGCAACCCAAACCTGACTCTCAAAAGGTGCTGAGGGCTCCAAAACTTTGGAGAAATGAAAGGGCACAATGGGACAGAGAGTAGTTTGAAGAACCTGTTGTAATTGCGTCCCTGCGGCTGGGGCTGTAGGGAAGAGGGGCCCTGCCAGCAGTTCTGGAAAGGCTGGATGACTCTGCAGACAGGGAAGGCGATGTGAAGCTGAGCACAGGCTATTGCCAGTGTGAGTAAAGGCTGGGACCTGAGGGCAGCCCAAGAAGCCTGGGCTCAAGAGCTCAGAGCTGCATGTGTCGGCTCAAGTAACTTGTAGTTTACTTTGACTTACTGCAAGTGCAAGATGTGGGGCCATTGTCCTGCATTACTCATGGCCCCAAGCAGGTCAGTGAAAGCCCTGGTGGAAGAAAGGGGGAGGCCGCATAGCTAAGGGTATCGAAGTAAGAAGGCATCCCATAAGCAGTATCCAAGATTGCTAGAATGAGGACAGTGCCATTTCAAGGATTTTCGGCAATATCTTTGCAGAAAATAAGGTTTTTTGCAAGAGGATTATTCTACAGTATTACACATCTTTCATTACAGTTGCATGCAAATGTCAGCCAACGTCATAAAAGCACTTTGGGAACAGTCTACGAATGGAACAAAAAGTGCCTTCACTCTTCATCTAACACCATGACGGCAACAATCATATTGTGACACTTTTTTATTTGGTAGCACGCTTCATCAGTGGTTCTCAAGGCACTCCATGAAAGAGACTGATAGTATGTTCCTTAATATAGAAATAGGGAAATAGAGATGCAGAGCAGGAAATGCATTTTTCCAAGGTTACGCAAAGGCTTATGCCCAAGCCACGGAAAGACCTTTAATAATATTTCTTAAGACCCACTCCACATCTCAAGCTAGACAGACACACTTCTTCCCACCAATGACTCGCTTATAATATCCAACTGGCCAAAAAAATGTTGGGAGACCGAGTCTGCTGCATACTATAGATGTGCAAGGCTGATACCTTGCATTGGCATCTTCTGGATTTGAGTTTGCTAAACTGAACCTCCTTGTTCCCTTGCAGGACAGCCAAAGGCCTCTCCTACAGTGCACCTCTTCCCTCCATCCTCGGAAGAGATCACCAGCAAGGGCAAGGCCACGCTGGTGTGTCTGATGGACGGCTTTTACCCCCGGCTCAGTCCTGGTCACCTGGAAAGCTGATGGCACCACCATGTCCAGTGGAGTGGAGACCACCAAGCCCTCCAAACAGAACAACAACCAGTACATGGCCAGCAGCTACCTGTCACTGAGCGCCCCCGACTGGAAGGGCCACGAGACCTACACCTGTCAGGTGACGCACGATGGGAAGAGCATCGAGAAGACCCTGAAGCGATCGGTGTGCTCTTAATCTCAACCACAGCAAGAGGAAAGGATTCTCCAAAGGAGTCAGGATTGTTGATTTTTTTCCCTAGAAATTCTTCACCCTATTTTCTTTGGGTGATTTTTGCAGATACCTTTTGATATCCACACCCCGTGTCCCCACTGGCCCCACCTCTCTGAATTCCCTGCAAGTGTGCTTCCTTCCTTAGTATCTAATGCAACTTCAGTGCTAAATCCAGCAAACTTTACCTCTTGCCACACTGATGAACACCTACGGTTCTGTGCCTCTAACCTGTAGTGTACTAACTTCAATATTCATGTTATCTCATAAAATAATCTTACCTTTTATCAACAACTATGCTTTTGTTGGGGCATCTCTCTTGCTAGTGGTTTTTATATTCCAATGAAGATATATGGTTCTGTGTTAAATTTAATATTGGGGGTAGGCGGAGTTGCAATTTTAGTTCAATCTCCTAGAGATCAAGAAAGGAAGAGGAATAATGGAGAGGGACCACTGGCTTGGCAAGCTGTAACTATCTTTGTCCTAAGAATTACCACTCTGCCTCTCAGACAGACCATAATAAGGTACAATTAATGTGTCTGTGTGACACTTCTCCTTTGTGCGAATCCTTGAGGGATTAGGGTCACACTGACTGCCCATGTATTTCTGTAGCCAATCAAGGTGTGCTGGGCTCCTGTTGGCAACTGGCAGCAAAGAGGCAAGAGTTGGTTAATACTTGGATGGGACAGTAACCCTGCAGGCAGATATCTTAAGAGAAGCCATGTTACTTATATGTGAGACATATAATGAGCATTAAGCCCTTGACTGCTCTCAGGCATAGGACAGGTTTCTAACTGGTGCTGCTGTAGGTATTGAATCAATATGACCCAAGCACTAGATCAGGGGCGGGCAACTATTTTGCACAGAGGGCCGCTTACTGAGTTTTGGCAAGCCATCAAGGGCCGCATGACAGGCAGCCCAGGGTAGATTAATATTAATTTTCTAAATTTTTTTTAGGGGCCCCGCGGGCCAGATAGAACGGCCTGGCGGGCCGCATCCAGCCCCTGGGCCGCATTTTGCCCACCCCTGCACTAGATGGTAAGGCAGTATGACTACAGGAAGGCCGGAATCCCACCATTCCAAAGAGCTGGCGTGTAGTATGGGCTAACTGGTGTGGTTGGAGTCGCAGCCTGGAGGTACGTACTCTCTTTGGAACCGAGTTTTGCCCATGGGTGACAGGAGCAAATCTCCTTTTGTAAGGATAGAGCAAATGGCTTCCTCTCCCGCCTCCCTCATTTTGTGCCAGTGGCATTCCAGCATATCCTGCTGCCCCCACCTCACCATGCGTCTGGGCCCTGCTCTGCCCAAAGCAGCTGGGGTGGGAGGGAAGAAAAGGAGAGAGGAGTGAAGGGAGAGGAGTTCTGTCAAAATCCAGGCCTAAGCAAAGCTCAGCTTTCCTGTTAATGAGTTGGAGACATAGAACTACTACCATGTGGGAGATTTGCAGATGAGTCAGAACTGAAACATTGTGCAGAGGTGATTTGGTTCCCTTGAAGCTGCAATAGAAATCCAGATGGCCGGGGCTGGAGTGGGTCTGGGTTTCCTGCCAGCTCACCAAACTGAGCGTTTATCAGCCCCCTTGCTAAACAGCCTTAGAGGTAGAGAGCTAAGACCTTCCATGACCCACAACTATAAGGCAACTGCTATATGCCCTGCCTGGAATCACAGCTTTATCCCCTTCCTTGGGGAATTTTGAAACTGTTGGTTTTCACCCTGTATTGAAACAAAACCCAAATATCAGTCTGTCAAAATCCTTTGCATCAGTGTATTACCTTGCACCCCTAGGCTCATACTGGAGCTCTGGTCCTCTATACACACAGAGCCAGCAACGACCCCCTCTCCAAAACTGGTAGTGAAATGGGATTCCCATATTGCCGTGCTGAGTGTGCACATTAGCCATGCATTGCCTTGAGCTTTGGTCTCAGAATAGTGCAGTATCTGATGATGCACTGCTGCAGTTTGCTGGGATATCTTCAGCCAACCACAAAATGAATGAGGGATTTCAAAGGGCTGATGGTTCCAAGACCAAATTAACCTTGTTCCATGCTGGGCTCTCCTCAGCACTGAGGGGAGACACTGAACATGGAAATCAGTACTTCTTTTTATAATGTTGGCTTCTAAGCCACCCTTAGCAAGCAGAGCTGGGAAGCACATCACACATTTATTCATAATTAGTCATGCCATTTGGGGACCAACAGCAGAAAAGGCCTCCTGATATTATGTCAGAGGAAGAGGTTGGTATAGTATTGGGTTTTACCTGAAGCGTTACATGCTCCAGTCAATTAAGGATGTATAGGCCTGGTGCTTTTCTTCCCCCATGCAGGTTTCCTCACCTCTGCATCTTTCTAAGGCTTTAGAAATAAATCACCTCGGAGTTCATACCACCATCAAGCATCATAGAGAGGCTCTGTCTGTTGGGACTGCAAACTCCCCTGGCCTGACAGCTCTGGAAGGGAAATCATTGCAATAAGGAGTAGGTTATCCTGATGAAGAAATGAGTGCCACAGGGTGTAGCCAATTCAGTACCACCCCTTAGGCTTCCCAAAGTTTCAGCCTGAGGGAAAGCCCCTACCTTGGCAGGAAACTGGAGGAAAAGTGGCCAATTAATTCCCTTTATACACTCCGCTCCACCCCACCTTCTAATGGGATGAATTCCTCTATACAACACTCCCCTTTGTGCAAGTGATGAATTATTCCAGATGATGGAATAATTCATGCAGATCAGTAATATTTTAATTGATAGAGGCCTATGACACCAGCCTTGGGAGATAAATATGGTTAATTTGCTTAGCCTAATTAATACTCAGGATAGCATCCCTGTTAGCTGAGGAGCCAATTCCCAGAGCAATGTAAGTGCTTGTTCCTTGTTCCTTTGCGATTCACTGAACATGCCAAGGGATGCAGGTTCCTTTGGCAGTCACCTCCCAGCCTGTGCCAGGTCCCCCCAGGCTGCCCTATTGAGTGCATCTACATGACTGACCTCAGATGACAGGGTAACAGTTCCTAACACTAGGACAATGCATGAGCTTCCCTTTCAAATCAATATGTACATTAATTAATGCAGCTTTAAGAGTGCTTTTAGTTGGACTTGCCAGGCTGGCATAGAAGATAGAGCTCTATAGACACCAAAGAAAGAGAAAAGTTCACATTTCTGGGCTGAGGTATGGTAGACTGTAACGGAAGTAGAGATGTAACCCACTGGGCAGAGAGAGATGTCCCCATGGAGGCCTTCACACCTGATGCCTTAAGTGGGAGGGGGTTAGCATCACCACTGAGTCTGCTAGGTACCAGGAAACCAGCGGGCCCCAAGGATCTTTGGAGGACAGAAAAGCTCAACAGTGCTGCAAGTTTAACATGAACATCTTTAAGACGAGGCTCCTTGTGTGGCAGACAAAAAGACTGAGATACAGATACAGTGTGAAAGTAGTTCTGTCTATGGGCTGCTTCCAAACTGCTGTGTCCTATCAACTCTGCCATATGCTGTTTCATGAGGATATTACTGGCTGACCAGCATATACTGGTACCAACAGAGACTTGGGAGAAAGTCAGTTTAAATCGCAGACAGGCACAGCTTTGCTAGTCACAAAAAAAGCCTAAAGCACTTGGCTGGCTTTTAGCTACCAATAGCAGTCTGAAACTACTGAAACTTTTGCTTGGGTCTGATAAATGCAGACTAAGTCCATATGCACAGGGTCTCTCTCTCATACCTCCAGATGTATCTTGAACTAGACACCCTTATTGCTAATGGCCAGTAGAGCAATATGTCTAGGGGATATGAGATTTAGCATATCCTAACAACTCTTGAAGAGCTAATCAGGTAAGGCATGAGCAAACTCTCCCATAGGTTAATAACAGTAGCTACCAAGACCTAATTTTCACTTACTGCAGTGATACAGCCCCAACTCTTACTTATCATTTCCAGCATACTGTGTTGTGCATTCATTCACGATAACTGTTGTTCTGGTTCTTTTTACGTGGGACTGTTCAGAGAACAGAACAGGTATGAGATAGGTAGATTCCCTCGAGGACTGAAGGGCAGCGAGGCCTGCAACACACAAAATGAAGTCAGTGGAACTGTATGAAATATAAGGAGACTGAATGCAAAATTTGTCCCATGGCATTCAGGTCTAGATGTGCTCAAGCACTCCAAGGAGGTACCCGTCTCATCTATGAACATCTCTGTATCAGTGAAGGGTCTACTCTTCTCTCCAGGTATTTTTCACCCAGAAGACTTTACTTACAGCACTTACAGCAATAACAACATGGCACAGTGATGGATATCAGGCATGGGAACTATAATGTGGTTTTTCCCTGGATAATCAAAGACAAGATGGTGGCACCTACTGGTGTGAAGGCGGGAAATTGCTTGTTCTAGAAGCAGTGTCTGCATGGAAGCCCCCTTGCCAGGCTAATTCCCAACTGTCCTTTTCATTTCATTCATTGGATACCCGAATCCCCACAAGAGAAAGATTTTTATCCTGGTCACTGGAGTCCTGGAAATCATACCACAGGAGCTGGTCAGCTCCTGATCCATTAGACGTGTGAGATTTCTCTCTCCTTGGAGGTTTTTGCACAGCGATGCAACACTGCGTGCATGTCTTCGGTGGAGGAACCCAGTTGACTGTCCTTGGTAAGTAACCAAAACATTCTTGTATAATCATTTTCCAGCTATTTTTCTTTTACTCCCTATTTTTTTCTTTAAGTTTCCATCTTTCTACCTAGACCAGATGTTTTAATGCATCGCATTGACATGATGTTCTTTCCTTTTGCTTTGTCAAACAAGAGGCTTGTAATTTTAGCTGTAGGCTTTTAACAATATTAGGTTTCTACCAGGAGTGAAGTTTCTGAGTGTCATGGTGAAAGTTTGTTCAGTGTTCAGTTATTTGGGTTCTAGATTACAGGAGGCTTAGAAAAAAAATATATTGATCACACCATATGGATTTCTGTTGCTTTCTGCATCAAGATTGGTTTTGTATTCCTTTTTTTTTTTTGCTGTTGTGGTTGATGGGGTGGGAGAAAGTCATATCATACTGGAGTGTTAAGCACTCTGACATACAGGAAGTATATTTTGTAGAAGATTATTGTGTCCCCCAGACAAATCACCACATTATTTCCTAGGCACTAATTTAATTTGCTTTTCTGTTCTACTTCAAATGTGAAGTGATATGCCATAAAGTGCAGGTAGATTGAAAATTAGCAATAACTGGCCACGGGAAATGTGTAAAAAACAGTGGCTTAATATGAGCAATCTGTTGCTGGAGGCTTCCCTACTGGCATTTGTTCTGCCCTGGTTTTGCATGCAGATTTCCCATCAACATTGATGGGAGCTTCATGTGAAAACCAAAGCAAGAATGAGCTTTCTGTTAAGTTCCTTTACATAGCTGAATTTACTTAGAGGAAATAAGTCAAGAAGTGACTAATGACAGGTCTAAGCCATGTGAATCCCTGTATCGATGGAAACAGGAAGAATAGCATTAGTCCTGGCTACTCAGTAGACCACATTAGGTGAAATCCCGGCTCCAATAAAGGATCTCTCCTGTTCTTTGCCAAGTAACCCAACGTATATTACAGCAGCCATTCTTTCCCCTTGGGTTACTGCTGGGGCACCTAAAGCAAAGGGGTGAGTTGACTGTCAGTGGCTGTTCAGAGCAGAGCCTGGATCAACAACATTATTAGCAAAGTGTCATCCCAACCTGCTCAGGGCTGACAAAGCTGAAGCATCACAGGCGGTAATAGATATAACAACCTAAAAAGGCTTCTGGCATTTTTCTCTATTTTGTACTGAAGTCAGGCAGAAGGCAAGACAGGGCAGGATGGCACCTTATAGACTAATTCATTCAGAAATGCATAAGCTGTCATAGGCAACAGCCTACTTCATCAGATGTTTTGAACAGCCCATTCATAGAGCCTGATGAAGTTGCCCTCAGAAGCTCAGGCATTTCTGAACAAGTTAGTCTATGAGGTACCACCCTGCCCTGTGCCTTCTGCCTCACTTCAGACTAACACAGCTAACTATAACTATCCCTCTCTATCTTATCTCAGTACCCTTGCTTAAAAAGGAGATCTTTTAAAAGGGGTTGCTTTAGCAGGGGGCTTCCTCAAACTGGTCATGATACAGGCTATATATTATAGGGACTGGACAAGCAGGACTTGATCCGAATTTGCCCCAAAAATGTTTAGGATTCAAAGCTTGTAGAAGTTTGAAAGGGGGAAAAATACTATCATTGCTTGACCCAGAGTGCTTCTTGAAAGAACTTTGAGCCCTACAAGCTAGAAATTAAGCACTACAAGATTTGGGGGGTTGGGGGTCTTCCCTTCTCTAACACATTTAGTTAATGCTTATTCTATATTGCTCTAATCCAAAACACTCGTAAATCAATGGATCAGACTAAGTATGAATTTTATACTGATTCTGAAGGAAAACAAGTTCAGTTCTAGGTATCTTCCAGCACTCAGGGAGAACGCCTCTAAGAAGGTTCATAACCTTACAACACTGAATATTTTATGTTCCTGCCTTGTTTAGCAGCCTTCATCATTACTCCAGCAAGTTCAATACTTGATTTTTTTTTAATCCTTTCATACAAGAATATCTTTAGAATGTGCAAAAATATATCAAAGGGTTGAAACAATGTTCAGCACAGATCCTCTTTAGTTTTGGGAAAGGAAGCCTCACTAATTATTGATTAAAGTGTTTGCTAAATGGTGCCTTTAAGCTGTAATTTAGAATGCAATAATCAATGAATAATACATTAATGGATCACATAGGAGACTGGAATAGTCTGGATGACTTTCTTTTACTTTATTAAGCTCTGTGAATTTTAATGGTAGTATCTCAGGGATTTTTCCATGCCTGTCTTCTTATTAGTGACAGGTCTGTTACGTAAAACCTGAAAATCAGTTTTTGAATATGCATCTAGTTGATGCATCATGAAATGTTTCATGTCATTTAGGACTGGGTTAGATCCTAACCTCATCTTCCCCAATGTAAATTCAGAACACTGATGAAATCCTTGGAGTCTTAGTTTAGTGAGGCATCAGGGCATCTGATCCAAAGCTGACAGAAATCAGTGAGAATCACTATTGCAAGTGCATTCATTGCCACTTAGATCTTTGTTTAAACTAAAAAATAATAATAAATATCCTGCATCAGGAAGAAGCTAAGAAAGACGATATTATACAGTAGACCAAATGTATAATATTTGATAAGCTACCGGAAATGTTTTTTAAAAACACCCACAGAGTTAACAATGTTCATAATATTGGAAATTATTTATAGAAAGGATTAGTCAAAACGACTATCTGCACATTGTCTGACAGATAAGGCACTGCAAGGGGCTAATTGTTACATAAAAATGGCTTTCCTTGAATTATTTTAAGTGGCATGCAATTTTCTGTTAACTTCAGCAAAATAAGCATCCACAAGCCTTCTCAACTGCTGCTGCAGGTCAGACTAAGACTGAGGCAGAGCACAAAGGGGGCTAACCCAGGCAATAACCTCAGGCAGCAACTCTCTGATTGTAAAAGAGCAACATACAGCCCTGGGCAGAGTAGCTGCCAGTATTAGCAAGGAGGCAGCTGTGTGAATTTAGTGCAGTCGCACTGGCTGATGACTAGGTCTCAGCAAGTAATTTGGCCATGATGTGGCTTTTGTCTATTCAGCCTTAATTAAGGTCTAACTGCTCTGTCAATCATCCTCACACAGGCAGTCCCATTGTAACATTACTGAAGTCATTCCCCATTTCTTCAGTAATAACTATTCGCTGGAATAAGGATTGCAGATTGGCCTCTAAACTTCTACATGTGAGGAAAAAACACAAAATGTATAAAAATTGGAGATTTTTATAGCTTGGGTCAGAAATGGGTAATTTCCTAGTTCCAGCATTTTCATTTTTTGCTATCCAATACAATTACAATTCAATTCTAACGCTGAACTCCATTGTTCTCTTGCAGAACAGCCAAAGGCCTCTCCTACCGTCCACCTCTTCCCTCCATCCTCAGAACAGGTCAGCAGCAAGAGCAAGGCCACGCTGGTGTGTCCGATGGACAGCTTTTACCCCGGCTCGGTCCAGGTCACCTGGAAAGCTGATGGCACCCCCATCACCAGTGGAGTGGAGACCACCACGCTGTCCAAACAGAGCCCTCCAAACAACCAGTACATGGCTGGCAGCTACCTGTCGCTGAGTGCCTCCAACTGGAAGGGCCACGAGACCTACACCTGTCAGGTGACGCACAACAGGAAGAGCATTGAGAAGACCCTGAAGAGATCGGAGTGCTCTTAACCCGCAGCCCCAGAGGGCTCGGCCAGTTCCTGTCTCAGTCAGAGGAGAGCTGGGATCCCCCGGGATCGTCCTAATGCTGATTTCTAGCAACTCCCCTTCCTGTTTTATTTGGGGGCTCTTTGTAGTTGTCTCTGATCCCTGCTTTGTATCCACTGCTCTCCCCACTCCACATTCCCTGCGAATACTTTCCTTGCTTTAGTCTCTGATGCAGACTTGGTACAATATTAATAAAAGCAGAAGCTGTTAAATATTACAGTGTCTATAAAGAGTTGGATTTCTTCTGTCCCTTTCACCAGGAGTGACTTTATTTTAGCTACTTACATTACCTACCAATAAAACATATACTTTTACCTTCCAAGGCTTCATCAGTTTGCACACATAAATCTCTGCATTACTCTTTCTTAGCCATTCAACAAAAGTAATTCTATAAGAATTCTAAAACCGTTGCATTGGGATATCGTTCTTTGCAAGGCATACAGGAGCCAACATTGAACTGAACTGAGACTGAATCCAGACCTAGCTTTTTAATATGCTCCTAGATACACTACCTGCCAAAAAGTTCTATTGCTTAACTGCCCAAGGCCAAATTTTGCTCTTCTTCATCATATTGCTGAGGTTGAAGGAGCTAAGCCCCAAGGGAGGGGTCACCTCCTCCACACAAGCAAGGGTAGGAGAACAAACCTCTGCATGTACCTGATTGTACACCACAAACAAAATCTATAACAACATCATCTGTTTAAATTATCTAATGTTTGTACCTCTCAGTCACTTATTTCTGAAGAGTCGGGCTACAGTTTTGGGGTTTGTTTTTTTTTTAAAAAACTGTCTAGTCTTCCACTAAAAGTGCATGTAGGCCTTGTTGAGAAATGAGTCAATGGTGGTGTTATACCTAGACATACAACACAACAGAGCTCATTGCATTTGTTAACAGCTAGGAATTAGATTCCTACAGACAATTTATCAAAGTCTCCAAGGTCCTGAGTCAGATCCAGCTGAGAAGATAACTATTCAAGTGGTGACTTACATGGTGATGTACACTATAAAATAATACATTGAGGAGCTCAAGGTACTGAATGGGCTTGAGCCTATAGCAGTTGTTTGGGGATTTATTAGTGCCCTGTTCTAACATCAGCCCTTAGGAGGCACCTCCCTGGTGGAGAAGTTATATTCCTCCACCTGATCATGAAGGGATTTAGGGATAAGAGTTTCTTCAATCCTTACCTCTCCCCTTAGTTCACTTACCAGATGCATTCAGTGGACACTGGTGTGTACTGGGAGGGTAGAAGGAGAAACTGAGAGCTGTCAGAAGAGCCAAGGAGTGTGCCTGAATATTTTAAGATGTTTATTTCTTAGAACAAAGCTGGACACATTTATTTTTGTCTCCCTGGTTATAATATTGCTTCACCTGCACTGAAATATGAGGTGGACCCCAGCACCTTATTCCCCACCAGTCCTGTTCTAGATTTCAAACACCTCAAAGTTCAGAGGTTGCTCAGGTTTGATTTGGGTTTGACCCAGTACAAAGAGAGGGGATATTTATAATGTCTGAAAGGTTTCGGTTTTGGCTTGGTGGCAAGGAGGCTCTCCGCCTGGACCAGAATCCCCAGGTCTACAACCAAATGACTGAAATGTCCCTTGTATCAGTTGTACCTTTGGCAAGTGCTGCGTTCACCAGCTGCTTTGTACTTTCTCAGGCTCATTGCCTCATGGTGAACAGCAGAAGCATCAACCCAGGCACGTGGCTGAGGCTGCAATCAGGTGCACCTATGAGAGTGAGCAGTGCACTCTCTGGGGTCCCAGTTCTGGTCTCAGATAGAAAATGGCTTGAAAATTATTGTGTGCTGGTCCCTACACCACCCCTGTAGTCCCACTGCTTTTGCCTTCCCAGATCTTCCTCCCAACCATCATGTCTCCTGACCTAGACCTGCACTACCCCATATAATGCCCCAGCACTGACCTCCTTTCAATGGGTATAAAGTAGGAGATATGGGGCTATTACTTCTGCTCTCAGCTTTGTACCTCTACATTGAGGCAAGAATCCCCAACTGCAGAGCTCACAGCACCAGCACCACAGCCCCTGAGAGAAAGAGCCCAGTTCTCTCAGTGACACCAGCTGAGCTGGACTCCAGTGCCATGTCCCCTACTTTACACCAGTGAAAACCAGGGGACTCAGGCCATGAAAATTTCATCTTTCTTCAATTATACAAGTCAGTGGTCCATGTTGCCATCACTGACACCTCTCTCTTGGCTTCCTACCATGCCACCCTCCATTAAGAGATAGAATAACTCCATAAAAAGGTGAATAAGTAACGCTCGCACAGCTCACGGTGGATAAATAAGGTTTCCACATAACACAAATACTACCCCAGATAGACCCATGATTGGCCATTACAGCAAAAAGGCCATGAACTGAATCAGTTTGGACATAGATGCACCAAACTACAGCAACTTTTCACTCTAGAGTTGGCCTTCCATTAAATTAGGCTGGGAAGCAAGCGTGGGGAAGGAAGTCAAGCAGTAGCTAGTGTTAGAGCTGTCTTTTGGATGAAGGGAAGACTTCAGAAAAGAGGCTGGATCAGCACAGCTAAAGACTGAGCCAACAGGTTTTAGCCCTAGTAAGTCACTTGAGTCTCAGGGGTGCTGAGAAGTGCAGTCTTGGCTGCAGTCAAGACAAAAATAATTGGCCTAAAAGACTGAAAAGAAGAATGCTAAAAAAATTGAAGTTTTCAGCAGTTTCCACACTTGAATAAGGGCAGAACCAAGTTATAACATGAGCTATCAGTAAGAATCATAGAAACTTAGGGTTGGAAGGGACTTGAGGAGGTCATGTTGTCCAACCCCCTGCTCAAACCAGGACCATCCCCTACTGCCAATGAGGTATCGCAAGAAAAAAGGTGGCTTCTTCTGAACAAGATAAAAGCCAGCAGCATAGCCAAGCCCAGTCATTCAACTGCGGAAAGGTGAAGGCAGGTCCTGGCCAAATTTCCTGAAGGGCAGCAGGCACTGAGATTCCCAATCCTGCTCTATCCAAGTCAATGGGAGCTATGCCATTCATTTCAGTTGGGTGCACAATCATGCCCCAGATCCCCAAAACTGCATCTGTGCAGAAACATCACTTGTTTCCTGGCAAGTTTGACCTTCCTAACTGCACCCCCCACAGGGCCTGTATCTGAGGCCAATTAATGTTCAGGGTGACAAGGGAGTGGGATCAGGGGCATGAAGGAGCCACTCAGTTCCATGATTCTCAGCCTGACCCAAAATCCATACAAGCCATTATGAGTCTTTCTGTTGCATTCTCTGGGACCAACTGGTCCCAGCCAGGTCAGGGAAATGGGGCAGGCCTGGAGCCTCCAGCCCCATAAACATGCTTAGTTTGAATTCAGTTCTATAAATGGGCAAAGGGTGGAGGTAGGGGGGTATTTTATTCAAACCACCTTGCCCATCTCTGGTACTAAGCTAGGATCACCCCATTGGTCTAGGATCACTCCACTGGGCTTGCTCCCATTAAACTTGAATGTCACCCATTGTGCCAACAGCTCCTTCAGAAAGAGGAAACCTCATCCAGGTCTTCAGCCTCAGCAAAATAATCCCAGAGGGGGCTCTCCAGGACAGAACGATCACACACGTGGAATCTTCCTTTTCCCCAGTGCAAGGTTTTTGCACAGCCATGTATCACAGTGCTGGACTTCAGGGGAGGAACCCAGCTGATCATCCTCTGTAAGTAAAATGTCCTCTGTTAGTAAATAATGTCCTCATTTCCAGTGGGATAAGTTTTCCATCCAAGCCATTTGGAATAGTCTTTTATTCAGGACAGATGCTTTTTCAAAGGTAAAGTGTTCAGAGACTGTGCTCTTTTGCTCTGTTAAATAAAATTAGAAGGTGCAGGTAAGCTAGGATTGGTCTGGGGTCTTCCAAAACACCTTTGGATTCTTTCCACAATCTGTTTGCTAAGCATCCAGAACTTTTTTATATTAGTTATGGGGAAATTACTGTCAATTATCCCCAAAATGAACAAGATTGTAGGATACAGTTGGATCCTACAATTTGGAAATCAACTTCTCCTAAATGATGAATTTGGGATTCCTCTTTTCCAGTTATTTAGTGCATTGTTTATGTACTATGGCCACATTTTTCAAATACGGTCAGTGATTTGGAGTGTCGGGGAACCCCCTAACTAAATGCCCTTATTTTCAGCTGTGCAGTCCTAATGTCTCCCCACTGATTCCAACTTGAGTTTCAGGTGTCCCACAGCCCTGGAAGTCAGAACTAACCTGTCTGTACCTGGGCAATAAAAAATGGGCCATCCAAAATCAGTGTCCACCTTGGACAACGTGGCTTCAAATTCTTACACCAACTCTAGCCCAATAAGTGTGCTGGACCCCCCATTCAAGTTCCTGCCTCACTGGCATACATGACATACTAGCATCCTAGATCTAACAGTCCTGTTGCACTAGGGGCATCTTCAAAAGGTGCAGAGAAGCTAAATTCTTAATCAGAAAGTTCTAGTTTCTTTTGAGAAGATTAAGTCACTAACTACAGTGTCTATGCACAATAATATGAAAGGAAATAATCAAGTCAAAATCCTGGAGATCAGAGTATTCTTAGCCACCAAGAAAGGAAAAAGGAATCATGATTGTTTTGTAGTGTCATCATAACGCTCATGTCCAGAAACACTGCTCCCTTCTTTATTTGGAGGAGTTTTTCAAATGCCTTTGATCCCAATCTTTACTCCCATGTACCCTCTATGCTCTCTTTTTTTGTATTCACTACAAATGTCCTACAAGTTTTAGCCCTGGGTGATAAGTGGCCTGAGTCTCACAGGTGCTGAGACGTGCAGTCTTGGCTGCCTCCGATGCAGCCTTGATACAATGTTAATAAAACCAGAAACATTCAGCTCTCATTGTGACTCTGTAGAGCTTAATTTCTGTGCTCTCCTCACTGGCTGGTTGAATTCTCAGTAAGCATATTTCCCAGTAAAATTACTTTTTAGCAGACATGGTTTTCTTCGAGGCTCT